AAATCTGTAAGTATTACAGAATCCATTAGACAAACATAGGCTTTCGAGAGGAAAGCGTCTAATTCCCTCCACACCCAGAACTGTCTTAGATAGTTTAGGGTGACTCTCTCTGGGACCCAAAGAACTGGATTATCAAGTTTGGGTCACTCCAAATTCTGAGAACAAGACAGTGGGTGATGTCCTCAGAGTGGTAAAGAATGGGGCTCCCAGAGCTGTCCTTCCTTACTGTGGAAGAAAGAAGAACAAAAGAAAGAAGGGGAAAAGGAGCAAGAAGAAGAAAGAAAGAAAGAAAGAGAGAAAAGGACTGGGAGTGGTGGCTCTCGCCTGTAATCCTAGCACTCTGGGAGGCCAAGGTGGGAGGACTGCTTGAATTGAGGAGTTCAAGACCAGCCTGAGTAAGGGTGAGACCCCATCTCTACAAAAAATAGAAAAAAATCAGCCAGGCGTGGTGGCATGCCCTTGTATTCCCAGCTATTCAGGAAGCTGAGGCAGGAGGATCACTGGGGCCCAGGAGTTTGAGGCTGCAGTGAGCTCTAATGACACCACTACACTCTAGCCGGGGCAACAGAGCAAGACTCTGTCTCCAACACAAAAAAAAAAATAAAGAGAGAAAAGAAAAGGAAAAGAAGGAAGGGGAAAAAGTTAGTTGATCAAATGGCCATATGGCATCAAATGCCATCAAATGGCAAAAAATATAAATAAGTGAAAAAATATAAATATAAATAAGTGAAATGGGCCTAGCATAAGGCAATAGGGAAAGGTAGGGACTGCGGAAGAGAGGCCCAGTCTAAGGGGCAGCTGCTACTCAACTCGAGTTTATGGTGCCCAAGCCCAGTGTAACCAGAGCTTTTAGTTTTGCAAGAGAATCTGAAAATACTGATTTTTTTTTTTAACCTGAAATATCTCAGATTTTCAATGTTGGCAATCAATTTGATTCAAGTAATTACACTTAGAATGATGTTTTCTTTGGTATGGACCAAATAAAAGACTGCTACATGCCACATTCAGTTCATGGGTCATAAGTTTGCAATCTTTATGAGGAAAGAAATAAACAGTCGGGAACTAAAAAGAGCAGTAAGTTCTAAAGCATAGAATGGATAATTTACATCGAAGAGTTCTTTCATTCTCTGTCCTCAGATAAGAGTCTCATCAAGTCTTTATACTAATTCTCATCTATAAAAGAAAATATATCCTTTTTCTCTCCCTTTCTTTGCAATGTCCTGGAACCTAAAATAACTATTAGTCTGCTCCATCTTTTCTTTCTGATTCTCTTTGTAAGTATTGGGCTGGTGAATGAATGAAAGTATTGGGCTACTTAGGTAAATGTTTATGATCTCTTAGCCTTCTGAGATGGGGATGGACAGATGCATAGGAAGTATTGGTAAGGCCAGGGGCGGTGGCTCATGCCTATAATCCCAGCACTTTGGGAGGCCAAGGCAGGAGGATTACTCAAGCCCAGGAGTTCAAGACTGGCTTAGGCAAGTTAGCAAAACCCTGTCTCTATAAAAAAATTAAAAAAATCAGCCAGGCATGGTGGCACACACCTGTAGTCCTACATACTTGGGAGGTTGAAGTAGGGGAATCACGTGAGGCCAGGGGTTTGAGACCAGCCTGGGCAACATAGCAAGACCCTAATTTAATTTTTTTAATTAGCCGGGCATGGTGATACATGCCTGTACTCCCAGCTAGGCCAGAGGCTGGGGCAGGAGATTTGCTTGAGCCCAGGAGTTCAAGGTTTCAGCGAGCTACAATTGTACCACTGCTCTGGGCAACAGAAGAGCCTGTCTCTAAAAAAAGAAAAGAAAAAAAGAAAGTATTTGTAGAAGGTAGAAAGCTGTTTTGCAAGATTGCTCGGATAAACTACAATATAGTTCATTGGTTATTTAAGGATATGCTTATTGGTTAAGGATATTATTCTTACAGTATTCCTGGAATTTCACATTAAATATATTGATATTCAGAGAGTGGATCAGTCAGTTTTTACTAAGTAATGATGCAATAACAAACACCTGTCAAGTCTCAGTGGTTTGCAACAAAGAAATATTTTTCACAGGTTAGTTGCTTCTCTGCTCCATTTTGTCTTTATTCTGAGACCTTGGCAGAAGGAGCCGCCTGGCCCTGGCTCCAAAACATGCTCATGCTGGAAAGGAGAAGATTAACTACACCATGGCTTTTAAACCTTCTGCCCGGAAGTAGCACACATCACTTCCTCTCACATTTTATTGGCAGCCAAAGCAAGTCCCATGGCCAAGTCTGGTGTTGATGGGGCAGGAGAAGTATAATCCTCTCATAGGGAAGAGAAATATTTAGGAACCAAGGTAGGGACCATTGTGGTAATTTGAGTGGAGAGTGTTTAAGAGCATTATCTCTGGAGTCGGACTTTCTGGGTTCAAATCCTAGCTCTACCATTTACTATCTATAAGACCTTGGATACATTACTTAATCCTTTGGTGCCTCAGTTTCCCCATATAAGCACACCTACCTCATGGGGCTGTTGGGAAGAGTGAATCAATGAAGACATATAGATGGAGACAGAGATATATAGAGACAGAGACAGAACACTTATAGCAGTGTTTGTTGTGTAGTAAGTATTGGCTATTACTACTGTGCTAATGATTAAAAAGCAATCAGCCCAAATGCATCTCAGCTACCTAGTCCCGGCACTCTAGCTCTCAGAATCTCGTGTTAAAATGCAGGTACTTCTGAAAGGACTAAAACCTCCAGTTCTTACGAGCTAATGCCTTGTTGGCGATTGCTTTGAGAGCAAGTCCCTGCAGGATATGACCTAAGAGAGTGTTTTGGAGACAGAGAAAACAGGAGTTGGGGGATAGGAATCCCCAAAACACCACAGATAAAGTACCACAAACCAGGTAACTTGAACAACAGAAATTTATTTTCTCACAATTCTGTAGGCCGGGCATCCAAGATCAAGGTGTTGCCAGGGTTGGTTTCTTCTGAGCCTCTCATCCTGGCTTGTCCATGGCTGTCATTCTCCAGTGTGTCCACCTGGTCCGTTCTCCATGTGTGTCTGTGTCCCAATCTGCTCTTATCAGGACCCCAGTCGTATTGGAATAGGGCCCACTCAGATGACCTCATTTTACCATAATTACCTCTTCCAAGGTCCTGTCTCCAAATACAGTCACATCCTGGAGTACTGGAGGTTAGGACTTCAATATGTGGATTTTGGGGGGACTCATCTCAGCCCATAACATTGGCTACATATTAGAACCCTCTGGAGATGCCCAGACTATGCCATGGGCCTGGACCAACACCATCAGAATCTCTGTGGGTGGGACGCAGGACTCTGACCCTCTTAACGCTGCCCAGGGGCTCCCCACATGTGGCCAAGGTTCGTGCTGGAACAGCCTCCTTTCCACTCAGAGCACCTGAGTGCCTCTTTCTTGGCCCAAATCCTGCTCCACCATGGATCTTCCTGAACCCCCATTTCTCCATCACAATCCAGCTGAACCGACCAGGAAGGGAACACTTGCTGACAAAGACAAGGGGCAGATATGGCCAATGCTGAGCGTTTGTCTTTCCTGTCCCCCTGATTGATCCCTTTATACAACCATAAAACTTTTAAAAGGTTGAACCTGAACCGAGGCTGTGTGCCTGTGACACAATTAATCAAACTCTTGAAGACTCATGTTGCATTATGTACTTGGGGCATTGATCCACTTCACTAAGAGTTGGCCTGAAATACAACCGGGACACGGGGTATCGGATCCCTAAGAAATGGCGGGGACGCTGTCAGTTGTTTTGTGTCTCCCCATGATACGTGGTCCTGCAGCAGACCAGACCACAAAGCAGGACCAGTTCCAACACAGCAGAGAGGACGTCAGCCAGCCCCCAACTCGCCCCAAGTTTCTGGGAGCGGGAGTACAGAGAAGAGAGGGCTGACTGTGGTGTGTTCCTCAAACCTGCTGTCACTGAACTTAAATAATAATAGTACCATGCATGCATCCACGAGTCTTCCAGTCTCCTTACCTGTTCTTGAATTGATTACAGACAATGCCAGGATCCCTGGCACCACAAAATTTTCCCCAGGGAGGCACTTGTTTGGGGTCTTCCCTAAATCAAAATTTTATAGGACCAAGTGCATCCCTCCTTCTTAATTCACAGGTACGTGTCAAGCCAATAACAATATCTAGCATCTCAGTGCAATGTTCTCTAGTTAACCGAGCACTTCAACGTCCTCAGACTCATTTGAGCCCCACAACAGCCCCACAAGGTAGGTGAGCCAAGATTTAGGGTCCCCATTTTACAGAAGAGGAAACTTGCTGGGGAAATGATGTGTATTACCAAGGTCATGGAACTCGTGCTAGAACTAGAATACAGTACCTAGTTCTAGGACTCAGATCCCGTGGCTTTCGGCAATGCTCTGCTCCAGGCAATGCAGGAGACCACAAAGGAAATCAGACCTTGTGCTGGCCCCAGGCAGAATCACGTTATGGGCAAAGCTCCTTTGATACCTTTCCTCTCTCCTCCAGGCATCCCTCCCACCCTCCTACACTGCGACTAGCATCTCCGGGTCCAGAAGTCTCTCCCTGGGCTTTCCTCTTGAAACTACCCTGCCTTCGCTGGCCCAGTAGAAAGAATCAGACACATGTGCCCTCAAAGCCTAGCTTGCCTGTGAGACCCAGCTGTGTGACCTTGGGTGAGTTACAGCAGGCTTTTGAGTTTCCTCCCCTGGTAAAATGGATTTTCACAAGAACCTACTTCTTAGGGCTGCATGGAAGATGTATGAGTCATGTGCAGAAAGCACTCTGGACCATGTCTGGCATTTATTAAGCATGCCAAAAGGGCAGTTGTTTTAAAAAATTGTATTTAGGTATTCATTATATATATCCGGTACAATAGCTAACATTTTTCAAAACCTGCTCTGTGATGCTGTGTGTTGCCTTATCCTCGGTACTTTACGTACATTCTTTCATTGAATTCTCATGACAACCTTAGGAAGCCAGTGCTATTATCATCCCACTTTACAGATGGGGAAACTGAGACACAAAGTGGTTAAGCAGAGCCAGCAAGGGATAGAGCCTGGATTTAAGCCTCAGGGGTCTGACTCCAGAACTGACACTCTTAGCTCAGGGACAAACCTGCAGTTGTGGGTGGGGAGGGGGAGAGGGAGGGTGGGCAGTGACAAATGTCTAATACTGCTCTTTGCCATTTGCATTTTTAAATAAGAAGATCTTTGAAGCAAAGACATAGCTTAAGCATACCATACTTCCATGGAAAGTTCTGATCCTACAATGGTCAAATATGAGGCATTACAGCAGAAAGCACGGACAATACCCAGAAAACAGGGCTTTCTAGGTGCCACTACGATGTTACCATGAATGTATATTTTTTAACTGAGGGAAGGAATCACAAGAAAATGCTAACCATAATAGTTTTTGTAGAGAAGGACTGGGCCAGGGTGAGGACGGTAGGATTTTTTTCCTTTTCATATTATACTTCTCTATATTTGAAATTTCAAACCCAGCTCTACAAATTGGTTTTGTTTTCTACTAACAGGATTTATCTAAACTATGTAAAACTGTTGTTACTAGTTATTTTCCTCTTTATATACATCGCATTAAAAAATTAATGAATGCCATGTGTAAAAATGATGCCATGAAACCAACCACTTGCTCCATGGCCTCGAGTTGCCGGTCGTCTCAATGTGGAGCTGAGCATGTAGAACTCTCCAGAGGAAGAGTTTATGGTGCCAGGGCCCCCGGCATTGTCTGTAAAGACCAAAAAGATGACAGAATCGGAACGCCCAGCAAGATGAGATATAATTAAGTGCCCAAGAACACGGAGCCATCTCTTGAGACTGGAGGAGTCCAGCTCTCTTCCCAAACATGGTATTTCCCCTGATGTTGTTTTTTTTTCCCCCTGCACCAAAAATTTTCCACTTTAATTATGTGGGTTAGGTCAGAGGAGCTCACCTTCAGAGCTTTACGTGCGCAAATAGCTAATCCCTACCATAAGACACATTTCTGGGAAAGCCCAAAGATAAATGTTTACAGTCTGTGCTGGGATAATAGAAGCCAGTGAAATTCGACATGATTTAAGCATTATGTGTCCGTGCCCTAAGAAACAATTTCGGGAGAGCTCTAGCCTCTACGTTCTGGAATTCTGGCCTTCGTTCTCACAAAGAGTGGAATCGTTGGCAATGCTCGTAGGTTAAATATTTTTCTCCCTTTTCCTGGTTTTGCATAAAACATGAGGAGGATGGTAATTAAACCCATACTTAAAATATTAAGTCTACTACCTAAAGGAATGAAGTTTATTAAAGTTGCTAAGCGTTAAGTACAGAAACTCAAAATAGCCGGAGCGCACTCGCCTCGGCGTATACCCAAAGTGTTGGCTGAGCGTAGAGATTGGTGAGTGGGCACATGTGCACACACTCACAGACACATGCACACACATGCACACGCTCACACACACTCATCAGTACGCTGACATATCCATAAATGGAATGCATTTCTCAAGTAACTAGCTTTTGACAGGCAGAGGGCAAAGATGAACCCCCAGTTAAGGTGCTTAAAAAGGCTGTTCCTCAGCAACATTGTGATAATGGTCTCGCAGGGTCAACGGCATCTACTTTGGTAGGGTGTGGAGCAGGTATCAGGAGTTCCATAGCACAATCCCCAGCCCAAAGTGAGGAGGTACTTGGTCAGTGTAAGGCCCCCTTTTCCAGGGGATCTCCGAGGGGTCCAGTTGCTAGGAGCTGAGCACTCTCCCTCCTCCCCAAGGGGCAGGATGGATTCTACTGATGAGTCCAGGTCAATTCCAACTGTGGTCAAAAAGTATCAGTCACCACCCTTTCCTCCCACACCTAAGGTCATAAGGACAGGGCTCCGTGGTGCAGTGGCTAAAAGCTCAGTCCTGGGTTCAAATATCAGCTTTGGACATGGGACACCTCATGTCACCATCCATGACCCATGCAATCATGAATGGTCTCCACTCTCCAAGGCTTCCTCTCATATAGAGGAAGTTTCCCAACTGTTCAGATTGCCCCAGGCCAAGGTGGGCTGGGGGGCCTTTCAGGAGGGCAGAGACTCACCTGGGAAACCCACCAGCATGGTGAGAGCTGCTGATCCCACATCCCAGCCGGGACTGTAGCCAATCCAGGAGTGTCTTGAAAAGCAGCAAGGACAAGGGACATGCAGCACTTCTATTCACATTTGATCAGCCAAAACAAGTTACATGGTCACACCTAATTGAAGAAAAAGATTTACAGTCCTTCTGAATGCATAGCAGTTGAGGAAAACAAGTTATCAGTGACCGTCATAGCCCCCAAGCCAGTCTCTTAACTACTCTATTTTTATTTTATTTTATTTTTAGAGACAGGGTGTTGCTCTTCACCCAGGCTGGAGTGCAGTGGGGCAATCATAGCTCACTGCAGCCTCTAACTCCTGGACTCAAGCCATCCTCCCACCTCAGCCTCCCAAAGTGCTGGGATTACAGGCATGAGCCACCGTGCTCAGCTCTTAACCACTCCATATGGCACTGCTCCGCTTCTCTCTGTGATAGGACCAGCCATTATTCAACCTCCCAGGCAGCAGTCCTGGGAGCAGTCCTTACTTAAGTTCCGGGGAAAGCATCAGGGTTTTAAGTGAACTAATTAATCAGCGACCATTGCACGATTTCCAACCTGGCCTGGTCCCTTTGCTTCCCATCAGCAGTGCTCCCTGGTCAGGGGCCGTCCTCCAGTGCCCCAGTCAGCTCTGCTGAGACCAGAGCCACCCACCCCTGCACCCAGGGGCTCTCCTTGTCCCCCATCCATCACCAGAGCCCAGTGGTCTCACCTGTCGATGCCTGGCTCTCGCTTGATGTCTCAGTTCCGGAACAGAGATGCTCCAGCTGCTACCTGGGAAGGCTTTGGCCCCAAAAATATTTAGTTAGCAGCCATTCAGTTAAGTGGAATTGACTTTTTATCGGCTTTCCTCTGTACAGCTGCCACCAGCGAAGGCTGTTTCCTCCTTCCCTCTTCTCTGCCTGTCAGTTCCCTCCTCGTTCCTATCGGCAGCCTTTAGCTCTGATCAATACTAACCGCTGTGTAACAGCTCACGCACGGCTGCTCGGGTTTGCATCGATCAGACCCTTCTTCCAACAGGTAGTCAGCTATTTGAGGCAATGACTTGAGATAAACACCTACTTTTACTGCAGGCTAATTCATTTCAGGTGGATTTCAAGGAGGCTTCGCACCCCGTCTCTTAGACAAGCTGAAATCGGAGAGTGGAGATCAACGCCCCTTGTGTGCTTGAGGTCCTAGGAGATCTTTCTTCCTGTCCCCTTTTTTTCCTTTCCCTTGTATTTTGTAAAGTGCCACTTATAAATAAGATACCAGGACTTGGGACATTGAAAATGCCACTCGAGAAAATGTGTCGGCCATCCATCCCTCTTTCCTTTTAATGAGATGCATCCGGGACTGCAGGATACCAGACGCAGCATTGTCGCCGGGCAGCCGAGCTCCCTCCCTGCTGCCCCAGCACCAACCTCACAATATCCCACAGGCCCGGTCCTCTTGCCACTGCGGGGGGCAGTCCTTGAATCCACCCCCATCCTCGTTCCAGGCTCACAGGTGAAATTGCCAGGAGCTGCTATTGCATGAGTTGCTATTTTGCAACTGATTGTGGTGTGTGGGGGCGGCACAACTTTATGGCATTTGTGTTGTAACCAGACAACACATAAGACTGGCTGATGTACATTTCTTTTTCTCCAACGTGTACACGAAGTGACTTGGCTGGGTGGCATATCTGATACCATCATTCACCTGTCACTGGGTCCTAAACCTCCTGTCCTGTTTCTCTTTCTCCAGCCTCCCTCAGCATGCTCAGCACTTCAGTCTCCAGGTGCTGTTGAGCCCTCCCTTGCAGTGCAGTTGCTCTGTCCCTTCCCTCCATCTCAGTTGCTGTCATCCTGACTGAAGCTCTCATCCCCTGGTGCTTGGACCACTGCAGTATCCTCTAGCTGACTGCCTGGCTTCCAGCGGCTCCCTGCTATGTTGGTTGTGCCCTCCACACAGAGGCATTTCCTGGTGCCCTGCTGGGATGGTCATTCTCTTCTCTGAAATCACCAGTGGCTTCCCGTAGCCTGCCAGGCTGGAGGCCAGATTCCTCAGCATGTCATTCTGGTCCTTGGCTTTCTCTCTAGACTGTCTCCCACCGTCCTCCAGTGCAGGCTCCATGTTTAGTCCATCTGGATGACTTACCACTTCCTCTGCATGCACTTTCCAGCTCTGTGCCTAAAAAGCGAATACCATGCCCCACATGCCCTTTGAAATTGGTTGGCTTCACTACTTATTAGCTCTGTGACCTCCATTGTGTTATCTAACTTCTCCTTGCCTCGATTTCTCATCTGTGAAATGGGGATAATAATAGTACCCACCCCATAAAGTGGATATGAGGATTACATTAATATACATAGGGATTCAGAATGGTACCTGCACATAGTAGATTCCATGTCAGTGTTTGCTGTTGTCATTTTTATCATTTCCTTCATTCTGCCAAGCCACTGCCCAAAGCAGACCTCTTACCTGAGTATTCCACTGGTCGCCCTGGCCAAACATACTCACTTCCTCTTCTTCCACCCATAGCCCTTGGTTTCTACTGATAATATAATAATTACAGCAAATAGTAATAATCCTGGGTGTTAGGCACATGCTTAGTGCTTTTATACGCGCACTGTTACTTTTAAATCCCTTGGGCTGGGTACCTTTCATCTGCCCCAGAGCTATGCTCCCTCCTTCTCCACCTTGTTTTTGGCCACAGGAGATCGATCCATATGCCGGGTGGCTTCCAAGCACACTTGTCCAATGAGGAGCGTTGGCGAGAAGTTAGGACAGAGTTTTCATTCTCCCAGCCTCTTCCTGGCCATATCACTGCAGAATGGCCTCATCGCTCAGGGCAGGGTCGTGGCTCCTTTGCAGCAGGCCTCTTGATCTCGCCTGCTCTGTCTGCAGCTTCTGGTCACTATGGGCTCTCCTGGCCTCTCCACAGCTGGGTAGTATCATGCCCAGGACACTACACTACCCTCTTCCTGTGGTTCCCGGAACCCTGATCACACCTTTGTAGATACTATAGTCCCTACATAGGCTCTTCTCAAAGTATCCTCATGCAGGTGTGTCACTCGGGCTGACATAGTTCTCATAACAGTCCTACAAGGTATGTACTGTTGTTCATTGTTATCTTTCTTATAAAAGAAACAAAAAAACTACCCCAAACGTAGAGGCTTAAAACAACAATCATTTACGAGCTCACCATTCTGGGGGTTGGCAATGTGGGTTGGGCTTAGCTGGGAAGTTCTTCTGCTGGATTCACCCGAACTTGCTTGTGTGGCTACAGTCAGCTGGAGGATTATCTGAGGCCTGGTGGCCCCAAATGGTGTCACTTCTATGTCTGGAAGCTGATGTGGATCTACAAGGCTGACCAGGCCACGTGTCTCCAGTATCAAGCAAGCTAGCCTAGACTTCTTCACAGTGGCCAGATTCCAGAAATAGCAAAGAGCAAGGCTCAGTATGCAAGCACTTTTCAAGCCTCTGCTTGCACCAGGCTTTATAATGTCCAGTGAGGATAACCCGGGCTGAGGGCTGGCAAAACTGACCCCACCTCTGGGTGGGAGGAGCTGCAAAATACTGCAGCCATTTTTTTTTTTATCAATCTATCACACGGGACACTCCTTTCCGGAAAGATGTATGCTTTGACAACTTCACATCCTGTATCCTCATAACCCGAGTGAGAATGGCGATGTGGGCCAGCCCTGTGTTTTAGGGGGTGGGGAGTGTCCTCTTTATAGCTTGGTGAACATCTGACACTCTTCCTGCCTGTTACCACCAGACTGAAAATAATTCTGAAAGGGAAGTCTCTTAAAACTTAGCATGAGGGAGTGGAATTTTTTTTTAATTAGGCTTCAGCAGAATTTTTCAAAGAATCTTTCTTTTCTTCAGTTGCCTCTCCCTTGTTATAAATTTTAACTCCACCCAGCGGCATACCACAGCCAGCCTGGCGTCTCCCTCCACTCCTTTCACTCCACACCACTGTTTGCTTGGCAGCAACGCTCAGCTCCCGTGGCCACAGCAGGCAGAGGGAGAAGTCTTCCTTCCTGCTCGCCTCACTTCCTGCTTTCTTTCTTCTATTCCTACTAGAGCTCATCCTTGTCTGCTCACTCCTACTCTGCGTGGTGCTGGTGCCCTCCTAAAAGCAGGATGCTAGGAAGAGCTGAAAAATTCATGTATAGAGCTGTTCTGTACAGCCCCCCAGGTTGGGCACTGTACACAGTAGCCTAGAGACACAGCCAGAAGACCTGACCTCCAGGAAGCTCCAGGCAGAAAATTCATCTAAAAAGTAGTCATATGTGAAATTATATTGAAAGATACCTGCGAACTTGATGTAGCTAGCCACCTATTGATTTATTTTACAAGTATTGGTTGAGGACCTACCATGTGCCAGGCTCTGGAAATATAAAACATGGCCCTGCCCAAGAGAAACTTATAATTTAGCAGGGTTGAGAGACAAAGGAAGATAATAACAATTTTTGAAATTAAGTCCTGTGTAAAAGGGTGTCATGCAAAGATGTTAGGAAGCCACTGGGCTGAACCTGGAGGACTAGGCAAGATGTTCTCAAGGAGATGCTCTTTGACATGGTCTAGCCCAGAGCTGTCCAATAGAAGCACAATTCGAGCCATGCATGTAATTTTAAATTTTCTAGTAGCCACATTAAAAAAGTAACAACAAACAGGTGAAAATAATCTTAATAATATATTTCATTCAACCCAATATATCCAAGACATTACCATTTCAGTATGCAATCAATATAAAAATTATTAATGAGATATTTTACATTCTTTTTATTGTACTAAGTTTTTAAAAACCCAGTGCATATTTTAGACATATAGCACATCTCAATTTGGATGCCAAACGTTCAGTAGTTAAAGTAAAATGTAGTCCTATCAAAGCAATAAATTTGTGTTTAACAGAAACATATTTTATATTGCTTCAACTTAAAATGTGTAATTTCAGTTAATTTAAATGAAATAAAATAGAAAATTTAGTTCCTCACAAGTGATCAATAGCTATGTGTGGCTAGTAGCTACCGTATCGGAGAGCAGGAGTCTAAAAGGATAAACAGAAGGAAAGCGAGGAAAGTAGAAGGCATGGAGCAGAAAAGCAAAACACAAGAAAACATGAACAAAAGCATGTAAAATAGTATGGGGTTGGGAACTCTTCACAGTTTCATTATTACAGGGACACGGGGGCAAGACTAGTGACGGGAAATAAGCTAAGGGGAGAGGATGGGCAGGGGACAGTCAGAAAGGACTTGAGTGCTCCCAGAGGATGGAGAACCACATATTTCACATGCACTTACTTAGTCTGGGGGAAATTGATCTCAGAGGGAACTATCTGGAGTAGGCCCTGGCAGAGGCCTCTGAAACCTGCCGTGAATGAATCCACCCTCCTGGCAGCCCAGGATGGAGGCTCAGCAAGTCCACATGTGGGATGAGGAAGCTCCAACTATCATCACCTTCGGGGTTAGGATTTCAACATATGAATTTTGGTGGGACACATTCAGTCTGTAGCAGAGGGCTACAGATTGTCCTAATCTTTATATGCCTAAAGATTCCAGCAGTTGCAGACTATTGTCCCCCTTTCTTGGAGTTTCTTTGGCATATACACATCTCACAAAAAAACTAATAGGCTTTTTTCTTTCCTTTTCTTTTGAGACAGAGTCTCTTTCTGCTGCCCAGGCTAGAGTGCAGTGGCGTCAGCCTAGCTCACAGCAACCTCAAACTCCTGGGCTCAAGCAATCCTCCTGCCTCAGCCTCCCGAGTAGCTGGGACTACTGTCCGGCTAATTTCTTTCTATTTTTAGTAGAGATGGGGTCTCACTCTTGCTCAGGCTGGTCTCAAACTCCTGACCTCAAGTGATCCTC